CAATAATAATAATAATAACAATAATAATAACAACAATGATAATAACAACAATGATAACAATGATGGTTATAATGATAATAATAATGATAATAATGGTAATAATGACAAAAACACGCCACGATCATTCAAAAAATCGTTATAAAAATCCGTTGTTTCTCAGATATACTCAATTGCTGGGCGCAGCTAAGGTACCTTTCTTTCGGTTCTGAGCTACATGCCCGTATTTAGTACCATAACCTGACAAATGCACATGTATAACCTCTTCCAAGACCACACAAGCATCTTTTTTTTTTGCGCTTGTACAATAGAAAGACTATTCAAATCGTGGCATTACTCTGATCGATGATACTGAAGGTTGATAAGTTCGTAATCCTGGATTCATTGGAATCTTTGTACCCCTTAATTTGCCTTTAAAATTAAACCAGGAAGTGAAAGGGAAAGAGAGAGAGAGAGAGTGAGGAGGAAATATTAAATTATTAAGATTAATTAAAACTTATTATTAAGATTATCAAGTTCAAAGATTAATTAAAAATTAAGATAAAGGATTAATTAAGATAAATTAAGATTGCGACATCAAAATTAAACAAGAGAGAGTTCTTTCGAAAAAAAGTCATGAAAACACAAAAAACAAAAAATTTTCTTGGAAAAATTTAAAAAAAAAACTCCTAAAAATTTATTAAAAAAATATCTTACTTCAACAGCAATAATGTCGCCTTTTGTAAGGCAAGCAAATTTACGCAACTCAACTTCCAGAACAGCTCTTGGATTCGATATTGCCAGAAAATCGGTGGACTGTGGTTTCAGTTTTGTGTATGTAGCTTTTGGAAGTGATGCATATGTTATACGAACACATTCACCTTCGTTGAGGTGCAGCTGGCGCATCATCTGCAATACAATCTTGTTTTATTAAGCATTGATGTATTAAATAAAATAAATAGCAACGTGCACCAGACCAGCCGGTGCGATAAGGCGTTTGTACAATTCAGCCCATCGGCCGATTGCCTATTAATGATTTTCACTACTTTGTACTTTAGTCTGCGCAAAAATAATTGAAACGTTGAAAAATAATTAAAAAGTTCACGCACAAGCGCATGAAAGCTGAATTTGAAACCTTGAGGGGTGAATACGCTTCCGCGTTTTCCGAGATAATAGCTTACTCGCCAAAATTTTCACGAGGCCGTAAGTGACACCCGAGAGTGCGAGAACGCTGAACTTGAATTTGCGGGGTCGCACGTGGGTAGGAAACGTCCCCCTAAATTATCAGCTTCATAGCTTTTGTGGTTCTCAAGTTGAAAGTTGCGGACAAACACACAGACAACCCCGTGACAATATGCGTTTTGTCCTGCTGTTACACAGCACAAAACACATAAAAAAGTACGATACACAACTAAATTTTCGAAGATTTCTTGTCGGATCACATCTCAGGAATCACCATTAACGATGAGGTCATGAAAATTAGGATTTTTGAAAGTTTTTGCAAGTCTCCGCACTGCAAGTTCCTGTTCAAATTTTCCCCTAATTTTTTTTACTTTATCTATAAAATGCCGGTTTTCCAATTCATTTATTCCTTCCCTTCCTTCCCCTCCCCTTC